TTGTTGGGCCAAAGTGCCTGTTTCCACACTGGAGGAATTCTATGATTATGATCTGGACAATCATCAAGTGTTGTGTTGGTCCAGACTGTGCGTTTACGTCACTTTATCGAACAAAGAATTTAAAAAGAGGAGAGAAGAAACCATTGGATAGCTCACTGGAACTGTGAGTGAAACACCAGTGAAAATAAAAGCAATGAGCAGATTAATCCCCAAAGAGAAAAGGATTTGTGCTGAAGAAATATCTTATTAAATGCAATTGTAGTGTGCAATTGTTTCATTATCATTTTTAACACAACAATTTTTGCCGAGATGTGCTTTGCTTTGAACCTGTATAACCGTTAAATATGGGGCTGTCTGAAGTAATAGATCATTTGAATTAGACTCCTGAGTCCAAGTAAATAGTACTGTAACGAAGTATGCTCCAGACAACTGTGTTGGTAAAAAAGATGATGCTTGCTCAAGGCTATTAGAAATAGAAGAAAAATATTATATGCCAAATGCATCAGTTGTACATATGACCATCTGTTCCCCCAGCATATGTACCAGTTATTTAAGCCTGCTTCTGTTTGAATGGTTTGCAAACTTAAAGATCCCCCAGAGAATTTGATTTTGTGATCCTTTGAATATTTCATAAAATACAGAATATGCCAGATCAAACCACTGCAACAAATGCAGCAGAATAGACAATCAGTTCTGGCATTTCTTTTTATATTCAATTAATAGCTTTTCAAAGATGTACATTCAACCATAAACCAAGTATATCTGCTTCCATTGCCTTGATACCTTTTTGATGTTGTCTAACTTTTTCCCTTTAAAGTGCTCACTTAAATGGTTCATTTCTTGTTTGAGAAATCCATCCAACTGAGCTTGGAGATAATGGAGATTATCACAAATATCAACTTACATAATGCAAAAATTTGATAACCACCTGAAAAGATAGGACACAGAAATAGATGCATCAAACTCTTTAACATTATCTAACTGTATTTATCTTTAGCTATCTATCAGGATCTGGCTATCTATGTATAGTTATATTCATATCTATCTATCTATCTATTTATCAATTTATCTATCCATCTATCTGTTGCTGTCTATTTTGATTCATATTCTATCTTATCATTTTATTTTCCTTAATACTGTCTGTAAAATATACTTTCAATATCTCGATTAGAAGGTCAATGGATACCAGTGCATGGGATTAACATTTTCAAGATGTCCTTCAAAGCATACACCATCCTGAGTTGGAAGGATATCACCTTTCCTCCACCATTACCAGGTTAAACTATTAGAACCCCTCACCTAACAACACTGTGCCTGGACATACACCGGATAGATTATAGTGATGCATGTAATTGACTCACCACCAACATACGAAGGGAAAACAGTGATTAGAAAATATGAAGGCTTGCCAGCAACATCTATAACTCATGACAAATTTAAAAAAATACAAATCTCAGTTTTGTTTATACTGAATAAGACTAACAGTCTCCAAAATAGTTAATTTTCAATTTGGAACTTTTACCTGACTAGGACACTTGAGTCCGATGATACGAATTTATCTTCTAACACCATTTACATTTTTTTCATTTTTATCTTTTCTTTTCCTGAAGCCAAGCCCATTTTGTCTATATTAATCTTGATTTCAAAGGTGTAAGAAAATACTTGCCTCTATTTCTTTACCCTCTGGAGTTGGGGTTGTTGGGGGTTGGTGTGTTTGGACTTGCATGGAGTTGGCTAATTCCAGAAATCTATTAGAATGTTGAAACAGTTAAACCTCATGGATACTATTGCCTGACTGACATTTCTGCCTGTTTGAACTTTTTCTGTAAATTTCACAATGTATGTTTACACCATATTTTTCAAGTGCTTGCAGTTTCTGTGGTTGATACTTTAAATGTTCTGGCTGATTGACATTTTATTGGGCTCTAGTAAAAGCAATTTTTAATGATTGAATGACTGGTTCTTTGCAGCTCTAGAAAAATGTTTTATTGTCATGATATGGGTTCTCTGCTTCTATACAGAGTGTAAATTAGTTGGATGGGCACAGAGGAGCCATAGCTTGGCATGGATAACATGAACAACCATGGAGTCTGGAGTTGCAGGGGCTTAGATTGGCATGGAGGATGGGTGATGCATGCGAGCTGACATAGATAAGATGAAGCAAGTGTGTAGGGGCAAGTATTAGAGTGCCTTGCTCTTTTTATTACAACTGGAATGAAGTCCCAAAGCACAAAGATGGGGTCTGTGAAGCAGCCCACCTCTGCACATCTAGGACTGCCTCCAAGTTCTTTGTCCCATGGGTGGCTCACTCAATTCCAGTATTAACCTGCCTGCCAGAGCTACGTTCTCTGAGGTTGGGTGCTGCAAAGCCAGGGATGTTCCCAACTCCCGCTAGCTGCCTTGAAGTTGAAAATGCAATCAGAAGAATTGACTCCTATGGATCCACTGCGTACACTTCTTCAATAGGGAATGTTGAATGGCTGTTTGTATGTGTCGACCATGTTATCTCCCATTTATTGTCTTCTTCTAAAATAGAACCGTGGTCTCCCAAGGTATCATGTCGAAAATGGTGACAATGTGGTGCTGAGATCAGCCATGTTTGCACTACTGGCAGAACAGCCCAGATGGTCCATTTGGTTTACTCCTGATCCTGTTTTCCATGCTTGTTTGTTGGCATATTTCTTAGTTTGGAGGACCGCAGTGTCCACTCCCTAGTCTCACTGCATTTTATCCATCATTCGGGGGAGCTGGTTGCACACCCCATGGACTCGTCATGTTCGTGCATTTATAGAGTCATAGAGTCATACAGCATGGAAACAGACCTTCAGTTCAACTTGTCCATGCTGACCAGGTTTCCCAAACTAAACTAGTCCCATTGGCCTGCGTTTGACCCATATCCTTCTAAACCTTTCCTATCCATGTACCTATCCAAATGACTTTTAACTACGGTAACTGTACCTGCATCTGCCACTTCCTCTGGCAGTTCATTCCACATACGAACCACCCTCTGTGAAAACATTGCCCCTCAGGTCCTTTTCAAAACTTTCCCCTTTCAGCTTAAACCTATTCCCTCTTGTTTTGAACTCCCCTACCCCAGGGAAAAGACCCTCACTATTCACCTTATCTTTGGCTCTCATGATTTTATAAATCTCTGTAAGGTCAGCCCCTATGCTCCAGGCAAAAGAAGTCCCAGACTATCCAGCTTTATCTTGAAATTTAAACACTCAGAGCTGAAATATTCCAATCTTATATCCTACTTTTCCGTTTTATTGATAGCATTGCAGTCTTTAATGAATAATAAGGCTTTCATCGACTTTAGCAGCTTCCATGCTTGTGAACCATGCATGTGTGCCTGCTTGTTTAACATTTCCATAGATTGCTTGATTTGAAGTCTGACGTGTAGAATGTATCTGTTAGAGACTAGCAGAAAGGGATTGTTTAAAAGGCCCAGCTTAGTGTTTTGGGACTTCATTCCAGTAATAAATGAAAAAATAAAAGCCCTATAGTCCATGCCTCACATCCCTGCCACGCAGGATCCTTGCTAGTTCATTCACTTCACCCACTCTCCAAGCCAATCTAAATTCCCGCAAGCCCTGACCCCTCATACTAAATATGCCAATGTATGCGTTCTCCAGGTCTGTTTAACCACTTTACACTCTGCATAGAATCAATGATCCCCTATATTGACAATGGAATGTCTTCAAAGAAACAGTCAATCATCTCTACTGGCAAGTTTAGATCTTCTTTAGCAAATTTTAATTACTTTTACATCTTTAAAATGAAGCATTTCTTTTTTCCTTCTCTTGTTCCTATCAGCATGGTTTTTTAAAATCTTTCCTTTCAGTGCTGAATATATAATTGCAGATATTCCCTAAGTTGTCTCCCATCCTGAACAAAATGCATGCATCAATAAAATAGAGTCAACTCCTAATATTTCCATCCAAAGAATTTGCATTTAAGATCGATTCTGTACGTACTAGATTTAACTTAACTCTGATAAAAGACTATGTTGGAGATATTAAACTTTGCCCTGCCCAGAATTTCCACTGATTTCTGATCTAACTTTGTTTCGCAACTCACCAATATCCAAATAACGCATCTACCTAGTGGGAAAATATTCAATTCGTCTTATTTTTGTTTGACATTTGTAAACTTTCTTTTGTTGGGGAGATTAAACATGATCTAAATAGATATTTCAACAAGACAGGTACCTTAAGATGAGACTACGTTTTACCACATATGAACAGTAAACAGACTACAAGGGGTGAAACTTCCTACTTGATACAGACATGTGGTTAAACAGAAGGACAACTCCTCTATTTATCACTGTTTATCACATAACAAATGGGACATCTGCTTGTTATTTTACCCCAAAATTTGAACTGTAGATTTGAGCCAAAGTCCCGTATATTGGTTCGCTGCTTCTCAAGCCATTGCTACGTCGTATCGTTTCTACGTTTTCATTTCCATCAAGCACCCCCTCAACATTCTTTCATCAAAAGGGTTCAGCAAAGAAGGGAAACAGAAAAGTATTCTATTAAGATAAAATACAGGCACAACTACAAGGGCTTCAATGGTCTCAACATTTTAAAAACATTTCCAGCTCTATAAATTACACAAGAAAAAACATTACTTGTGAAAGAAGTCATAGTTCAGTTCATTAAGTTTGGGTACTTAATATGAGGCTTTACACCAATGTTTCCTATAAACCACTAGCAATTGAGATTTTTTTTTGTACATTTTACTACCCCTCCCAACAGAAGCCCAAGTATGGCTTGGAACTTGGTGTAACAGCAAATGCATGAATGGAAAGTGCAATCTTAAAATGGGTCATGCCATCAACAATGCAGGCCTTGTGCTTATGAGTGCACTCTGGTTGGATACTCAGCTGGTGCTAGGAATGATGAACAATTAAGGTGGTGATATGTTAGAAAATATTGCATCCATCAGCTACAGCACGCAACCTTAAGCAGCTTCAATTTAAGAAGGTGGTTTCTGACCTTTCGTTTCCTTTTCCGTAGTCGGAGTAGTTCTTTGTGTTGTCTTGACACAAAATTCACAGCTGCATACTCCAGGAGGGCAGAGAACACAAATAGCAGACAGACTGCCATCCAGATATCGATGGCCTTAACATAGGACACCTGCAGTGGAGAGAGTGATTGAATAGACCAGGGTTGAAATTCCAGGCTAACATTCACTTACAAAAGAGTCAAAGTTGCCTGCGACAAAATGTCCTAAAATTAATGAAATATAAGTTTGAAAAATGAAATTCTTGGTCGATGTTTTCTATACCTCTATAACCCATTTAAATCTCAGCCCTTTTTCAATCCTGGCTTCTTGTGTATGGGCATGGCCCATCCTGGCACTTACATTGGCATTTACCCCCTCCTCAGTCCATTTTTAACCATGCTGTCTGTTATTTCACACTTCTTACATAGCTCTTATGTCTATATAAGTTCTTTAAAAATATGACAACAAAGACCACATTCAAGCTGAAAATTTCAGGAATGCAAAATGCATGGTTTTCTTTAAATTTAAATTGGATTAAAAAAGTGAAGGATTGTTCACATACTGTTTTGTCTGGAACAATTACAGTCTAACATAATATAATTCAAATGTCAATGCAACTCATGTCATCACTTGATCGTCATTTGGGAGGGAACATTACTCCTGAGCCATTTGTTGTAGAGTTTCATCTTATTTACTGACTGCAACAATTATACAACAGTGTCTTTAAAGGACCACAAGGAACAGGAGTAGGCCATTTGGCCCCTCCAGCCTGCTCTGCATTCATGAGGATCATGGCTGATCGGACCTTCCTCAT